TGCAAGCGTGTTTAAGCATATCATGAATAAATGCCGAACGGCGAAACAACCGAAAGGATAAATTGTTTCACTGCAACACGGAACAGTTTTATGCGAAATGACAACCTTTAACTAATATACTGATTAGCCAAAATGAAACCACGAACGGCTTGTTCAATTGCCACATAACAGGGAAAAAAACGTAAAGCGAGGACCCGTGCTGTACCAGATGCCGTGGGAACCAATCCTGGCGTGACAGGTAGGTCTAACTTACGGTTTAGGAGTCCCTGGGACGCGATCTACGACGATGACCGGGGTCAGAAGAGGCTGGACGGACGGAAAGGCCTGGAACAGGATTCCTGGACACAGCTTGCTGCGGAAAACTCGTGGACAGTGAAAATCAAGATGGCATCTGAGAGAACCCGGAAGTGGATCCTCATTCAATGCTGACCTCGAAAGGTAAGGAGCAAGGTAAGGGGTGTGCCTTAAGTAGGCTAGGAGTGGATACCAAGCACCTCCCACAAATACAGGCCATATTGCCTTAATACATATATATATATATATATATATACATATATATATATATACACACACTGAACAAAATTATAAACGCAACACTTTTGTTTTTCCCACATTTTTCATGAGTTGAACTCAAAGATCTAAGACTTTTTCTATGTACACAAAAGGCCTATTTCTCTCAAATATTGTTCACAAATCTGTCTAAATCTCTGTTAGTGAGCACTTCTCCTTTGCCAAGATAATCCATTCACCTTGCAGGTGTGGCATATCAAGATGCTAATTAGACAGCATGATTATTGCACAGGTGTGCCTTAGGCTAGCCACAATAAAAGGCCACTCTAAAATGTGCATGGGAAGCAAGGGTGACAGCCAACAACAAGGTGGAAAAGTAGCATAACCGGAGGTGAGAGTGTAGTGTGGTTCTTTAGGAGCGCAAGAGACAGATATGGATAGGTATAGATAAGTTACTCTGGGAGTCCATAAGCATTTCTGAACAGATGTGTTTGGAGCAACTTTTGAAACAATTGCAGACTAGGGGAGAGACTGTTCCAAAGGAAGGGAGCCGCCCGTGAGAAGTCTTGCAATCGCAGTAAGGGTGCGAGCAGCTGACAGGAGAAGGTCACCAGAACAGCAGAGAGACCTAGAAGGGGCAAATCTATGAATCAGCAAAGAAATGTAAGAGGGGCTAGAGTTGGTTTGCACTTTACAGGTAATGATTAGCATTTTGAATTGACACCTATAAGATACAGGAAGCCAGTGTAAGGATCAACAGAGGGGTGAGGTATGGGAGGAGCGATGGGTGAGATCAACCTGGCTGCAACATTCATTATTGATTGTAGCAGGGCAGTTCGAACTCGAAGAGAATTATAGTAATCCATGCAAGAGATTACCAATGGATGAACAAGCTCCTTGGCAGCATCTTGCATGAGAAAGGGGTGGATGCGGTCGATGTTTTTAAGATGAAATCAACAGGTTTTACCACCATCCACACATTGAGGCACAAAACTAAAAGGGATGCAGTTGATGGTGCACCAGAGTCAGGGGGCCAGACAACATCCAATGTAATCACAGGCACCATGGGGCCTATTCTGGCCATCACGAGTAGTTTTTGTCACAAAATAGAGATAGGCAGGGCTGCAGAGAGGCTCACCAGTGCCCAGGGGAAACATATGAAGTGTGAGGGAGGGTGGGAGAGCTGGAATAAGGTGTATGCATGTGTATGTTTCGAGTTTGTGTCAGTATTTGTGGATCTGTAAGTGTGGATCAGTGCATGTGTGTATCTGTGCTTGTGTGTTAGTGTATTTGTTCATATGTCTCTCAGTGTGAATGAGTATATATCTCTTGGCGTGTGTCTGTGTGTTTATTTGTCTGTGCACATCCCTATGTGGTGTATATGTGTGTAACTTTTGTGTGGCAGGGATTGTGTGTTTCTGTTTGTGGCAATGTGCATCTGTATATATGTGTGGCAATGTTTGTGTATATTTGAACATGTGCCTGCATGCAAACACAAACACACCTGAATTCAAACACCAACACTAGACATAAACACAGCTCTGCATTCAAACACCAACATTACACACAAGCAAATGACTGCATTTAAATGTCTACCCAGTACTTACCACTGAGTAAGTTGCAATGCTGAAAAAAAGGTAAATGAAATACTTTTCAAATTACGCTTAGAGGGGCCCTGAATCTAGAAAATGAGTGTTACAGAATTCTTCAAATATTTTTTTTTTTTTATATGCAGCCATTATACAATAATTGTAACACAAGATGACTGAAAAGTTATTTACAGACAGATATGAATCCTTATGAATCCATTGTTTTGTTAGAAATTGGCATCCTATTTAATCATTTATGTCAAATAAGAGCAGAAAGAGTTGATATACATTATTTTGCATTGTTTAATTTTCTCTTTTGGGATTTCTCCTTTTTATTTACTTTTATTTTATTTATTTTTTTGGTTTTTGGCTTGGTTTGCTAATCATTTCCATATCCCACAGTCATAGAACAACAATAAGATATTCAAAACTGCAGACAAAAAAAAAAAAAAACGACTACCCCCTTCTAACAATGAGACTTAATTGTTCCATGTGCGTGACTTTTTTTTACCATATATGTATATACAGTTTATAGTAGACGGTACTGTTTATTTGTTGGAGAGAAACATATGTAACACATGTTTGTTAAACTAGCATCACAATCATTTTGTGGTTTTTTTGCATTGACATAACGTAATTCACTAATGCAGCAATCATAGCTTGACTGGTTAATGCACCAACTGTGGGTTCTGTTCAGTACATTAGTATTATAGGATCTATTCTGAGATGGCAACCCCAGCTAGAATATGCAAACATGGATCAGCACTCAAACAAGATATACTGTGTAAAACCTTTCAAAGCTACTTAAAAATCTTATAGTAAGTAACAATATGAACATGTAGTCATAGCAGTGTCATGATAGGCTGTAGTGATTTCAGCCACCGTCACAACTTATTGTAACAGTGGTCCATCCATGTTAACTTGCTGGCTTGATCTCCCCACACATTGATGGTCATATACCTCCATGGCCCAACAGCTCCATCTGTAGACACAAATCCTTGGCTGTCACATGGCTTGGCCGAGACCCTGGGATGGCAAGAGAGATTTGATACACAAAAAGATGATTTGGAGGGTCTCTACACTTCCCAGTGGGCATCTCTTCACCCAACCTTCCAGTTTAAACCCCTCAACCCTCTCAGTTCTTGTTCCAATGTCCAGTGAGGTACCTAGTGGGAACATTAAAGTGCTAGTCATTTGCCTGTTTCTATATGGTACTAACCCTTGTACTGTTGCCTGTTTCTGTATGGTACTAACCCTTGTACTGTTGCCTGTTTCTGTATGGTACTAACCCTTGTACTGTTTTTTGACATGAGACCTTTGATGCTTGAACTAACTCTTTACTCTGCCTTACTTTGATTTTTGGATAACCATTGAATTTGGTAGATGTGATAGCTTCCTGCCTTTCCTTCAACCTGCATATGGAACACACTCAACTAAAAACTGACAATCATATGGCCACATGTATTAAGCCAACCATTTGGTCAAATTACACTTAAGTTAGTAAAATGGAAAACAAATGAAACAGTATAATGTGTGTGGGATGAATGCTGTTTTGTATAAATTGCTAATTTCAGCATCATCTCTTCTAAATGATGCATGTTCCACAATGTGTTCCCAAATTCTGTTCTTCTTTGTAGACTTCACTACTGAAGCCCATGGAACAACGAAGTAAGGGGAGTGGGCTTTGACAGAGCCAGGAGTGGGCAGGTGCATTCAGTTAGGGGTTGGTTTAAGCTAATGGAGCTTGGGGGCGGGATCAAAGGGGGTTGAAATAACGGCCATCTTAGAGAGTGGCCATTTTAATCAGAACTTCACTTACCTGTCAGTTGTGTCAGGTCTGTGGGGTTTTTCTTTTTTCTTTTGCTGCAGGTCCATGGCTTCCCTGGATGAGATCCTGGCCGGAGTGAGAGCAGCAGTGAAGGACCGAGGGCTGGCCTGGCTGCATGAACAACTGGGGGCTGCAGTTCCCCCTCCAGCACCAGCGGAGCGCAGGACGGCGCGAAGAGCACGGCCGCCCCAGCGCTTGAGTCCGGGCATGGCGCCCGCTCCACGGCGGCGGAGGAGCCCGTCGGCACCCAGCCAGGAGGCAAGAGGGTCGGACAGCACCGGGAAGCGGCCGGCGCCGCCGGTGCGCCGCGGTGCCGGTCAGGCGAGGACGGCCGCAAAGCGCGGGCCTGCTGGTAAACGCGCCCCATCCAAGATGGCGGCAGGCAGCACAGGAACCCCAGAGGAGGGCTCCAGCACGGCGGGAATGGCGGCCGGGAGAGCGGAGGAACACGTGGTCGGCAGCACTTCAGTGAGGCGTCCCGGTGAGTCTACTCTGGTCACTGAGGGGCAGGGGGCGGGCGGGACGCGGGATGTTCCAGCGCAGGCGGCCCCCCAGCAACCCAGGGGTGGCCTGGTCAGCGGGACCAGCTCGCGGGCGGCCTTAGGTGTGGCCGGGACGGGCGACAGTGCCAGGCATAGGGAGGAGGGGCGGCAGGAAGACGGCAGGATCGGACAGGGAGCGGCAGAGGTTCCAGCGGGCTGCCAGGGGGTGCAAGGGGCATCTGAGCCAGGTGCAGCGGCCAACAGATGGCCAGGTACAGCGGAGAAAGGGGACACACGCAGTACAGCGCGGGATAGGGAAGTCAGGAGCAGTAGCAGTGGAAGGTTGGGCCCCTCAGGCTGCTCTCACGGGGGGCACCGCAGCGGGACCAGGGAGAGGGAGGAGTACAGACGGGAGCGGCGCAGCGGTGGCGCCAGGCCCGGCAGCAGCAGGAGGTCAGCTGATCGGCAGTGGAGCAGGGACAGGAGTCCATCGCATAGCAGGCGCAGTGGTTCCAGGACCAGCTGCAGGGCGGGGAGAAGGAGGTCCGCGTCCAAGGACGGGCGGGGGCGGAGGCGGCGCAGCGCATCTGGGTCCTCGGGTGACAGTGCGCTAGGACAGCAGCGGGCCCCCAGGAGCAGGGATGCTAGGCCGGCAAGGCGGTGCGAAGCTTGGAATTGCGGAGAAGAGCGTAGGGAGGAAGGACGGGTAGGGGCCCAGCAGTACAGACTACCCAGGTTGTCTTCTCCTTACAGGTCGCGGAGCGCTACCCCTACGGTCCTGAGGAGGGATCAGGCGGATGGGAGTCGGCGTCAACCGGATGCTCCAGAGCCTGAACGGGTGGAAGGAAGGTCGGCAACCCCGGGGCCTGGCACGGCCGGGGTCTCCAACGGTGAGTCCATATCTGCACAACACTCCGGACAGTTATTGGGCTATTTAAAAACACTATTGGAGGCATGGTCAGGAAAGGGGGAATCTCCATTACAGTTCGGTAAGGTATGGTCCCCTGACACGGCGGTTAAGGCAATAGGGGCGGGGGTCCAACCGGCGAGCGGAGGCGAGGTAAGCGAAGCGGTAGTGGCGTCTGGTGCGGCGGATGGGGGGGCTGAGTCGGCGGTCGGGTGTGGCGACATTTCGGACGCGGCTCGTCAAAACGTACACATATCTTTTGCGGGCCCCCTAGGTTGTCACCTGAAATTAGAGGTCAAAGAAAAGATTTGGAAGGGGGAGTTCATGGAAATTTTTTCTTTGCTCCCTTTGGAGGAATTCCTAGACTTGAAGGAGGAGGATAAGAAGGACGCCAAGAAGGAGGAAGAAGAAAAAAGGCGGAGGTATCGCAAGATACCGAAGACTTTTGGGAATTGGCTGAGGGCGTTCTGCATACTGGCTAGTGTGATAGGGGAAAAAAGGCCAGGGAACTGTTCGCAACTGTTCTGCTACTTGGATGGGATAGGCGATGCGTATCGGACGTATGGGGGCCTAGCGTGGTGGAAATATGATGAGCAGTTTCGGCAACGCTTGGCGGCCAACCCTACCATGCGGTGGGACCAAATGGACCTGCCGCTATGGATGAGGATTATGATGGCGCAGAAGGCTGCGCCCTTTCTCGGGGCAGCTGGGACAGCCTCAGGCGTGGCTGTGCCAGCGGGACAAAAGAAGGGCCTGTGCTGGACGTACAACGAGGGTCAATGCAAGTGGGGTACTTCATGCCGATTTAGGCACGAGTGTTCGGGCTGCGGAGGGAATCACGGCGCCAGCAGATGCTTCAAGAAAGGTAAGCTCAATGCAGGGGGTGGAACCGCAGGGGTGGCGGCCACCTCGGCTGCAACTGGGGGCGTCCCCAGTGAGGTTAGGCGCGATGTTGCCTTGGCTAAGGCAATACGCTAACCAGGAGGATGCAGCGTTCCTGTGGCGGGGTTTTAGGGAGTGCTTCGTGATCCCCTTCACGGTTAAGGAACCAGGGGCGGTTTGTGCCAATCTTAAATCGGTGCGGGAACGCCCGGAGGTAGTGCGGGAAAAGATGGCCAAAGAGGTCCTTTTGGGGAGGATGGCGGGGCCGTTCCCGTATCCTCCTATAGCGGAGTTGCGGATATCCCCACTTGGAGTGGTCCCCAAAAAAGAGGCTGGCAAGTTTAGGTTGATTCATCATTTATCGTATCCTAAAGGGTCATCGGTGAATGATGACATCGACGCAGCACTCTGTTCAGTATCTTACACATCATTTGACAGGGCAGTCGAGTTGGTACGGAGAGCTGGGCGGGGAGCGCTGATGGCGAAGGTGGACGTGGAGGCAGCGTTTCGGCTGCTTCCCATACACCCGTCATGTCATCACCCTTGGGGTGTTGTTTTGAAGGGGGCTTCTTTGTGAATCTGTGCTTGCCGATGGGTTGTTCCATCTCGTGCGCCTATTTCGAGAAGTTTAGCACTTTTCTGGAATGGGTAGTGCGACGGGAATCGGAGGGGGGCATGGTTGTGCATTACCTGGACGACTTCTTATGTGTCGGCCCTCGAGGCTCAGACCGGTGCAAGCAGATACTACGGGTGTTCCAATGGGTAGCGCAGACGATGGGGGTTCCTTTGGCGGAGGACAAGACCGTGGGACCCGCCACGTGTCTCAGTTTTCTGGGTTTGGAGATCGATTCGGAGATCGGGGAATGTAGATTACCACAGGACAAGTTGCACAAACTGAAAGATTTGGTTCACACAATCGGGAGAGCACGGAAGGTGACGCTGATGGGCTTACAGTCTCTGGTAGGGAGCCTGAACTTTGCGTGCAGGGTCATACCCATGGGGAGGGTTTTCTGTAGACGGTTGGCGCGGGCGACGAGCGGGATACGGATGCCGTCACACTATGTCAGGGTTTCCGCGGACATGAAGGCGGACTTAGAGGTGTGGGATCGTTTTTTGAGGGACTTCAATGGCAAGGCCTTTTTTCGGGAGCAAGTGGTGTCTTCGGAAGCAGTGGGGCTGCGGACGCTTCGGGCAGCGTGGGGTTCGGGGCTTATTTTGCGGGACGGTGGTGTGCCGAGGCATGGCCCGAGGCATGGAGGGCGAGCCCATTGATCAAGAATCTGGCATTTTTGGAACTCTTCCCTGTAGTGGTTGCGGTAGCATTGTGGGGAGCTGAACTAGCAAACAAGCGAGTCGTGTTTTATTCGGACAATATGGCCGTGGTGCAGGCAATCAACAGTTTGTCGGCATCCTCGCTTCCGGTCTTATGCCTACTGCGGCGTTTGGTGCTCCTCTGCATGTCTTCCAATTTAGTATTCAGGGCTAGGCACATTCCGGGATTCTCAAATGTGGTGGCTGATGCGCTTTCTCGTTTTCAGTGGGATCGTTTTCGGGAAGCGGCTCCAGAGGCACGGGAATGCGGGCAGGCTTGCCCAGACGAGATGTGGCGACTCGGGACATCGTGCTTGGGGAATACATAAAGAAATCTTTGGCACCGAGCACGTGGTCATCCTATGCTAAGGTTTGGAAGGAATGGGAGGAAACGGTTGAGGAGGTAGGTGGGGACCTTTCGGAGGGCCATAGGCTGGATGTCTTCCTATGGTTGTTGTGCCGGTTGTTTGCAAAGGGGGCTTCGCCGGCCATGGTGGACAGGCATATGTCCGCCTTGGCTTTCTGGTTTAAATTCCATGGGTGGGAAGATTTGACAAAGATTTCTTGGTTCGACAGGCGGTTCGGGGTTTTCGGAGGGGAAAGACGTCGACGGACGTTAGGAGACCGGTGTCTTTTGCGGTCTTACAAGGTTTGGTGGGAAAGTTACCGGAGTTATGTTCTTTGCCATTTGAGGTGGTCCTTTTTTCTGGTGCGTTTGTCTGGGCGTTTTTCGGGGCGTTTCGGATCGGGGAGCTGGTTAGCGCAAACAAAGTGGGAGTTGGTGGCTTGCAGCGAGAGGATGTGGAAGTTAAGAGTGATCGCGTGCAGATTAGGTTGGGCCGATCGAAAACTGATGTTTTCGGCAAAGGCTGCTCCGTGGTGCTATTCGAGTTGCCGGGGTCAGGGTTGTGCCCGGTGGCCTGCGGATCAGGGTACCTGGGGATCCGTCCTAACGTTAGCGGTTGTTTTTTCCTGCACGCTGACGGCACGGCGCTGTCACGGTTTCAATTCATTAGGATTTTTCGTTTGGGCTTAGTGAAGCTGGGCCTGCAGCCCACGCAATTCGGGTCACATTCGTTCCGTATCGGTGCGGCTACAGAGGCGGCACGCTTGGGTTTGGGTGACGAGCGGATCAAGAGGATCGGACGGTGGGAATCCGTGCGGTTTCGCTCGTATGTGAGGCCCGACGGGATGGTGGAGCTTTGAGGGGTTAAATGGCCGGGAATGGGGGACATTGGCTCTGCGGTGTAATTAATTTTGTCTCTTTTCAGGTTGGAATGTTTGGTTGCTGGGACACTCGTTCGTATATTGGGCACAGAAGAGGGCCGCAGTTCGGAGACAAGGAACACAACTGGGCTTTCCTCTGGAACGGGCGGTCTTATCATGGTTTGGTTTTCAAGGTTTTAGTTGGCAGAGCTTGAGTAATGTTTTATTTACAAAAGTGTCCAAGGGTCCGGTTCCGGATGTTGTAGTGGTGCACGGTGGGGGGAATGACTTAGGGCTGATTCCGCAACGGGAACTGTTGCGGCGAATGAAGAGGGACATGGATCGGCTACGGGAGCTGGTCCCTGACGTGGTGGTGGTGTGGTCCGAGATGGTGCCTCGTTTTACATGGCGTCACGCCAGGGACCCTGCTGCGGTGGCACGATGCAGGGGGAAGGTTAATAGAGCTATGGCAGTATTTGTTAAGAGGATGGGGGGAATAGTGGTGAGGCATCGGGAACTGGAGGGCATGTTGCCAGGTTATTATAGGAGGGATGGAGTACACCTGTCAGAGGTGGGGTGTGACTTGCTGAACTTGGGGTTCCAGGAGGGCATAGCCCGAGCCCTGTTTCAGTGTGGTGGGGGTCACACATGGTCTTAAGGGGTCAAGACAAGTGCTGTGGCGGAACAGGGCGTGGTTAAGTTGGAAGTTATCAAGGAATTGGAACTGTACAGGCCAGGGCCTAGGCTGAAGTAGGCCAGACGGTGTCATGGTTGGTAGGTTCTAGCTCTTCGGTGGCGACGAACCTGGGGGTGTAGGGGTGTCTGGGTACACCCCTACAGTTATCGTTATGATATGGGGCCTCGTTGGTAGGCCGGATGTTTACAAGTTTATTGGTAATTGATGTTAATTATGTTAATTATTGTTCATGTGGTAGGGTCATTGTCAGGGGATTGTGCGGGGGGATAATAAATAATGTAATTTATGACAATGACCCTAATTATGTTAATTTATTCATATTAATAAAGCTGTGGACGTTATACTCCAACAGTATTAAACGTGTCCGTGTATTATTAAAGTTAAAGTTTATAGCACATGCCGAATAACGACAGTGCAAATGTCATGAAGCCCATGGAACAACGAAGTAAGGGGAGTGGGCCTTGACAGAGCCAGGAGTGGGCAGGTGCATTCAGTTAGGGGTTGGTTTAAGCTAATGGAGCTTGGGGGCGGGATCAAAGGGGGTTGAAATAACGGCCATCTTAGAGAGTGGCCATTTTAATCAGAACTTCACTTACCTGTCAGTTGTCCCACCCACCCTCCCTGTGTTGAGGTGAATTTCCCGTTTTGTCACAGCGGCGGGAACAGGGCGTGGTTAAGTTGGAAGTTATCAAGGAATTGGAACTGTACAGGCCAGGGCCTAGGCTGAAGTAGGCCAGACGGTGTCATGGTTGGTAGGTTCTAGCTCTTCGGTGGCGACGAACCTGGGGGTGTAGGGGTGTCTGGGTACACCCCTACAGTTA